TCACAACCGCGGCGTCTCCTGGCGCAGCTTCTCCAGCTCCTCGCTGTCCTTGGGCGACGGCCCCGGCAGGGGCGAGCCGGGGCCTATGGACTTCTCCAGCTCGGACATCCGCCTCTCCGCCTCCTCCTGCGCCTGCTGCCTCTCGACCTCCATCTGCCGCCGCATCTCCTCCATCTCCCTCTCCTTCTCCTGCTGGGCCTTCTTCAGCCGGTCCATCTCGGCCCTCTGCTCCTCCTCCTCCCGCTGCCGCTTGATGCGCTCTGCGGCGTTCTTGCCCTTCAGCTTGCCGATCTTCCTGCGGGTCGCCCAGCCGCGCACCCTCCTCTGGATGAGAACCGCGGCCGCGCGGCGCCTGGAGAAAAGCTGACGCTTCACGAGCATGCGCAGTGCCGCTTGCATGCCGATGCACGCCTTGGTCTGCCGCAGCCTCTCCTTGTAGGCGCACTTGCACCCCAGAGTCCGCAGCGCGGACTGCAGTTGTGCGGCCGCCCTGCGCATCGCCTTGAACCTCCTGCGCGCAAGCCACCCGCGCAACCGCCTCTGGACTCGCACGACGTACTCCTGGACGGCTGCACGCAATGAGTGCCCTGGAGGCCTCGCATCTTAGTCCGAGTAGATGGGGTCGGAGGATCGCGCCGCATCGCATCGGCGACGTCGGCGATGCGTCGGCGCCGTCGGCGTGGATGACGTCGGGCGCGCATCGAGCTGCATCGCCGATGCTTTGGCGATGCGGCGCGATGCTCCGACCACACCTGGGAGGGCTGGAAGCTCTGGGCAAGACTGCCCTCTGGTGCGCGGCTTTGGGGGCCATACCTCGGGCCTCCAGCGGCCGTCTGGGACGATCCGCCCGCCACCAGAACGCCCGCGACGAGGCGCGACTGCTGAGGAGCATCCCGAGGCTGGACAACCTCCGGGAGCCGACAGAAACAAGCAGGGAACTCTGGCAGGCCTGGGCTGGACCGAATCGCGAACTTGGATCGGGTCGGAAACGGGTCGGGTCACCAACGAGTCGTCTCGAATCGGATCGAAATCGAATCGCCGCGCCTGGCTCTGGCGGGCCCTGGCCGACGCCGGTGAATCGAACCGAATCGCAATCGCAGCCCCAGCCGGCGAATCGCATCGCAGCGAGGGATCGCAGGGGCGGCCCTGGGTGGCGCAGGGCCGCCCCCGCGCGCGGCCCGTCCTGGATGGCCCCGGTCATCGCCTTCTCGAGCCGGGCTTGCATGTCGTCCTTCATGAAGATCTTGCTCCGCCCGATCTGCCAGCTCTTCGCGGGCAGGGCCGTCCCCTCCTTCTCGAAGCGCGCCTGCCGCGCGCGGTGCGCACGCCTTCGCCCTGACGCTGCCCACCCCTCTGCATCTTGCCCACCCTCCTCCTCCTCCTCCTCCTCCTCCTCCTCCTCCTCCTTCTGGGCCGGAGTTTTTATGCTTCACCCGCCCAGTAGCCTTCTCACGGAGAAGCTTTCGAGGACTGCCTGACCTGACCTCCTGCTCCTCCGCCTCCTCGTCCTCCTCCTCCTCCTCCTCCTCCTTCTCCTTCTCCTCCTCCCCCTCTTTCCGTCTGCATGTCTGAGGCCTGGCCCCCACGTGCGCGCCTCGCCACGTCTCGAGCCTTGAGTGCCGCCTCCACGCCCCTGGAGACGGCGCGGCAGACACCGCAGCGAAGGCAGGTGCAGCAGCCTCCGCCTGCAGCTGTTGCAAGCTGAGCACGGGCGTTCTTTTGCTTTGACTCTGTCGCCGCCTTTGCCGCCCACCTGCTCGACGCGTGGCCCAGAACCAACCCGGACGGGGACCGGTGGGTAACAGCGGGTTCGCGTCGTGACGACTTGCGCGGTGGTTTCTGACACCGCGCGGATCGTTCAACCCTGAACGATCGGCCCTTTACGAAGCGGCGGATAGTTCAATATCGATCGATTCTCGGTCTCTGTCGGTGTTGAAGCTTGAACGCCCGCGGCGGGGTCGCCGCCGCGTCGTCGACACGACGCGGGCCTGCCGTAAGCATCCTTCGAGACACCCGAGCTGACCCTGGGCATTCGAACGACTGGGGCTGGGCGGAGAACTCTTCGCAGCGTTGGGACCGCCTCGAAGGGCTCCCGCTCCAAGCAGTGCCCTCTCCCTGGGCAGTGCACACTCAAGTTTCAAAGTTGGGTCGAAGCGTTTGCGCGAGCTCGGGCACACGTGCAGAGTGGCCGATTACAGTGACATCATTTTTGCACATTTTGTCAGCAGTGCTTCTCTTATCCGCCACCATGCCCCCTGGCGCGATGAGGCGGGTAGAATGCCGAGTGCTGTCTGGCAGGAGTTCTGTAAATCTTACATTTCAGGCCCCCCTCTCGACACAGAGTGCTGTTTGCATCGCCCCCCCTCCCGAGGGTTCCTGGCCGCTCTGACGCTTCACATAATCTCTCCAAGGCTCTGCAACACCTCCCAGACGGCCCAGGAAGGCTACCAAGGCCGCCAAGATGACCCAACATCGCCCCAATCAACGCTCGAATGCATAGACACCTAAGTGAAGACCGACAACCCTTCCAGAAGGCCTTCATCAGTTGAGTACGTATCTATGGAGTCACTCAGGCTTTTGAGTATCTAGTTGTCTCGCCCCATGAGGGCTCCAATGACCTCCACCTGGACGGCCCAGGATCGCCCCAAGAGAAACACAATACGGCCCAAGAGGAGCCCAGGATATCCCGAGAGGGCCCCCAAATGGCCCAATAGAACACCAAGCGGCTCCAAACCAGTCCAAAGAGAATCCCCAGATGACCAGGAGCCCAAGACGGCCCAAGAGAGCCCAGGAGGGATCCAAGAGGGCCACAATGCGGTTTCTCGGGAGCTCCAAGCCCACGACGGCTTGGGCAAGGCGCATGAGCACCCTGGAAAGAATAAAGACGAGAGGTGCCACATGTTACGGCTTTCCGAACGTTGCTCCATCAGTCGCCACACAGAGAATGCGGCAGGGGGAAGGAGGAGAAACGGTGAGGAGGTGGGGCAGGAGAAGCGTGGAGAGAAGGGAACATCAGGACTGGACGAGGCCGGCGTCGACGCCGACGCCGAGGGAAGGCACGGCGACACGACGCGAAGAGCGTGCCGCAAGCTACGGCCCTCTATGCCTGGAGACACGAGGTGTCACACCTTACGGCCTCATGTGCGCCCGCCGGGCAGTCGCTACCCAGAGCGCTGAGCTTGCCCGGTCGCAGGGCCTGCCGCAGGCAGCTGGATATTTCTGGAGGGCAGCTGCGCGGGCTTGGAGACCCGTGCCATGCGCGCGCTCGGTCTCGGCGGCCTGTGCAAGACGATGGTGGGGCCTCTGCCCAGTGGTGGTCTCGAAGACCATCGGGCTTGCCCAGGCTCTGCAAGTGTGGGTGGAGAGTCGGCCCTCTCTGAGAGCTCCGAGGCGGCGGATGTCGAACTCTTGCTCCTTCTTCCTCTTGCCTCCCTCACTCTGTCTTATGTCGGCAGATGCGTCGGTAGGGCGGGCTGAGCGACTCGCTGCTGGAGGAGGAGGAGGAGGAGGAGGAGAAATCCCGATGCCTTCTGCTCCCGGAGCTCGAGCTTTCCCGCTGCGTGGATGGAGGGCGGGCCGTTGCCACCGTGTGGCGATCGCTTTCGCGCCGCGCACGCTCGTCTTGACATGTTCCATCCGCGAAGCAGCTGGAGGGTGAATTTGAATGGCTTTCAAAACCTGATCGGACAAGAACGGGAAGCGCCAATGTTGTCAGTTGGGCTCGCAGGGGGAAAAGAAGACTCGATGGTCTGGGGGGGGCTATCGTGGGCCTATCTTGGCGCCCTCTTCGGCCGTTTTGGGGCTCTCCTTGCCTTTGGGGGTTCTTTTGGGCCGTTTTGAAGCCCTCTAGGAGCGAGTCCAAGACGATGTTGGTTTGGAGACTCCTCCGGAACCGATCTTTTGAGGATGTCCTGAACAAGACGGCTATTTTTCAGAGACCTGATCGGACAAGAACGGGAAGCGCCGATTTTGTCTATGAGGCTCCGGGGGCGGACACGAAGAAAACAAATGATGGCGACGACAATGCGGCGGATGTCGAAGATGCCAATGTGGATGACGGGGAGGGCAGCGAGGGGGGCTGAAGGACAACGAGTAGGAAGACAAGTGCGAGGACGAGGAAGAGATGAGGACGAATGCGAGGAGGAACGAAGCGGAGGAGGAGGAGGAGGAGGAGGAGGAGGAGGAGGAGGAGGAGGAGGAGGAGGAAAGGAGGAGGAGGAGGAGGAGGAGGAGGAGGAAAGGAGGATGAGGGGAGGAGCAGGAGGAGCAGGAGGAGGAGAACAAGAAGGACGACGACGACGAAGGACGGTAAGGAGCCCGACAAACAGGACATCGAAGAAGAGATGGGTCATCGTGATCTTTTGAGGCTACCCTGTGGGCTGTTGAGGCCGTCTGGGGCTATCTTGGGGCATCCTGGGGGCCTGTCGGGGTTCTCTTGGGGGCTACTGGGATCTTCTTGGGCTGTCTGGGCAAGTCCTAGGGTTCTGTGGAGGCTCTCTAAGGCCATCTTGGCGCCACCTTGGGCTGTCTTGGGCCATCTTCGGGCCCTCATTGGGCAGTCCCGGGGCCTCGTCGGGCGGCTCTTGGGGGCCTCTTGGGGGTCTTTTGGAACGCTCTGGGGGTCCCCTGGGAGGCTGTCGGGGGCTCTCTGGGGCCGTTTTGAGGATCTCCGGGAGCGACTCCAAGATAATGCTGGTTTGAAGCCCCTTCCAGAGCCGATTTTTTGAGGATGTCTGCGCGAAACGGCAATTTTTCAGAAACCTGATCGGACAAGAACGGGAACCGCCGTTTTAGTCCAGTGGGCTAAATGGGCGAATCAGAATAATAATAGTAATATTAATAGTATTCATAGTATTAATAGTATTGATAATAGTACTATCAATAATATTAATAATAATAAGAATAATACTAATAATAATAATACTATTGTTATTGCTATTAGTATTATTATTATTACTATTACTATTATTATTATTATTATTATTATTATTATTATTATTATTATTATTAATAACAGTAATACTACTAATAGTAATACTAATAATTTTGATGATGATGCTAATCGTAATAATTATAAAAAGAAGAATAATAAGAAGAATGCTAATACGAATAATCAGAAGAACAATAATAAACAACAACAGCGTTTTTGGTTGTTTCCAGAAATCCGATCGGACAAGAACGGGACGCGCCGTGTTAGTCTAGTGGGCTAATTGGGCGAAGAAGAAGAACAAACATAAAGTCGAGGGCGACGAGGAGGCGATGCCGAGGACGACGTGGAGAACATGAGGATAGCGAGGCGGAGCATGAGAACACCGAGGAAGAGAAACACAAGTACGAGGATGAAGAGAACAAGGGCGAGTACGAGAAGGAATGCGGAGGACGATGACGATGACGACGACGACGACGACGACGACGACGACGACGACGACGACGACGACGACGACGACGACGACGGAGGACAGTTAGAGGCAACTGCAGAAGGACGTTGAATCAGGAGAGGGTCCTTGTGACCCTATCGGCCTATCGGGCTACCCTGGGGGCTCCTGGCGCCCCGCGGGGTTGTTTTAGGGCCTGTTGGGGGCTTTTTGGAGGCCTCTTGGGTCCTGTTGTGGGCTTCTGGGGTCTTCTTGGGCTGTCTGGGCGCGTCATGGGGTTCTTCGGGTGCTTTCTTGGGCCGTCTCGGCGCAATCTTGGGCCGTCTTGGGCCTCATCCTACTCCTCCTCTTCCTCCTCCTCCTCCTTCTCCTCCGCCTCCCCCTCGTCTCCCATCTCCCCCCATGCCCCCCCTCCCCCTCCTTCTCTTCGTCCTCGTCCTCGTCCTCCCCCTCAGTCTCCTCTTCCATCTCCTCCTCGTCCTCGTCCTCCACCTCCTCTCCTCCCCCCTCCCCCTCCTCTTTTCCTTCCCTCTCCCCTTCCTCCCCCATCTTCCCCATCTCTCACATCTCCCACATCTCCCCCAGCTCCCCCACCACCTCCTCCTCCTCCTCCTCCTCCTCCTCCCCGCCTCTTCTCCTCCTCCGCCTCTTCCCCTCCTTCTTCTCCTCCTCCTCCTCCTCCTCCTCCTCCTCCAAATCCTCCTCCTCCCCCTCCCCCTCCTCCTCGTCCTCCTCGTCCTCCTCCTCCTCCGCCTCCCTCCTCCTCCTCCTCCTCTCCTCCTTCCCCTCAATCCTCCCTCCTCCTCCTCCTCCTCCTCCTCCTCCCTCCTCCTCCACCTTCTCCCCTCCTCCTTCTCCACTTCCTCGTGCTCCTCCTCCTCCCTCCCCCACTCCCCCACCTCCCCCCCTCCTTCGCCTTGTCCTCCTCCTCCACCTCCTCCTCCTCCTGCTGCTCCTCCTCCTCCTCCTCCTTCACAATTACTCAATATGAATACTACTCTCCCTCTTCCCCTGATGACGTCTTGGGAGTAGCCGACCCCCCCCCGCGTACTGTTTTTTACGCACAAGTTTCCCCGCAGTTGGGTTTTCGCATGCATTTTTTTCCAAAATGCTGCTCTCGCTGAGGCGCCGGCCTCATTTTCGGGCCCCGCCCGTTCCGAATCGTGCTCCCGCTGCAGCGCTGGCATCATTTCCGCCGGCGCCCGGGCTGCACGCCCGAGCGGGCGCCCGGGCCGGCGCCCGGGCCGGGTCCGGAGCAGGTTCCGGCCGGCGCCGGAAAATCGAGTTCCGAGGCGGCGCCGAAAAATTAGGCCATTCCAATACACATTTTTCTTTTGAAAATGCTGAATTTCTGCTTCCGGCGCCCGGGAGGCCTCCTGGGCCGATTCCGGCGTGCTTCCGCTCGTTCCGAATCGTGCTCCCGCTGCAGCGCTGGCCTCATTTCCGCGCTTCTGCTCGTTTCGACTCGTGCTCCTGCTGCAGCGCTGGCGTCATTTCCCGTGCCATGCCACGGCATGCAATGCAATGCTAGGTTGATACTACGCTTCGCGGTGCTCTTCTACGCCATGCCATGCCGTGTTCTACAATGCATCGCGTACCCTTTCGGGATCATTGCCCTGCTCGACATCCGACTGTGCGAGTAGAGAGGGGATCTGCGCCATGGTAAGGGATGGGAGGGAGGGGTAGGATGTCAGATATGACGCGAGCGCACCTAGCTTGTCCTCCCCCCTTCCTCCTCCTCCTCTCCTCCTCCTGCTGCTCCTCCTCCTCCTCCTCCTCCACCTCCTCCGCCTCCTCCTCGTCCTCCTTCTCCTTCTCCACCTCCTCCTGCTCCTCCTCCTCCTCCTCCTCCTTCCCCCCTCCCCCTCCCCCTCCCCTCCTCCTCCGCCTCCTCCTCCTCCTCCTCCTCCTCCTCCTCCTCTCCTCCTCCTCCTCCTCCTCCTCCTCCTCCTCCCCCTCCTCCTCCTCCTCCTCCTCCTCCTCCTCCTCCTCCACCTCCTCCTCCTCCTCCTCCTCCTCCTCTTCCTCCTCCTCCTCCTCCGCTTCGTTCCTCCTCGCATTCGTCCTCCATCTCTTCCTCGTCCTCGCACTTGTCTTCCTACTCGTTGTCCTTCAGCCCCCCTCGCTGCCCTCCCCTCGTCCTCCTCCTCCTCCTCCTCCTCCTCCTCCTCCTCCTCCTCCTCCTCCCCGTCCTCCTCCTCCTCCTCCTTCTCCTCCTCCTCCTCGTCCTCCTCCTCGTCGTCCTCCTCCTCCGCCTCCTCCGCGTCTCCGTCCTTCCCCTCTCTCTGTCCTCCTCCCAGTGGGGTCTCGGAGCGAAGGGCGCCTCGATCGTCTGCAGCAGGCTCGCGCAGAGGGCCTTGAAGTCGGGATCGACCCGCCCCCCAGCCGAGATGGTCGGGGTCAAGATGCGGAAGCGGTTGAAGAACTCCTCGGGCGGGCCCAGGCCCGGCCGTGGCCGGCGTCGGATCGGGAAGCCGAATCGACGTCGAAGTCCAGTTGAATCATGTAGAATCGGGGCCCAAATCTGCGCTCGCCGCATCTCGGAAGTCGGAAACGAGAAGCCGGATCGGAATCGGATCGGAACTCTTGCTTTTTGAAGCCGGATCGGGATCGAAGCGGAATCGAACCAGTTCCTTGAGCCACCACGACGGCGCGCCCCTTCGGAGACGAGCACGACGGCGAGTGCGGCGAGCGCGGCGAGTGCGACGGCGAGTGCGGCGAGCACGACAGCGGTGAACCTCGAGGTTCGAGGCTCGAAGGTCTCGAACGTTCTCGCCGGTGCCTGGAGGTATGCCAGGCCTCGCCAGGGGAAAGAGAGGATAGACCAGCACTGATCACGAGGGAAGCGCAGAGGGGCACGAGTGTGGCAAGCGCCGAGGCGAAAGGGCCAATTCGGAACGGCCGATGGCGCTGTGAGTGAAGAGGACGCAGGGGCCTCTCGGATTCTTGCTCGCGAAGCAAATGTCACCAGCAGGGGGAGCGGCCCGAGCTTCCGCGCCGTCAGGGAAGAGAGGAGGGCAGCACCAGTGGGCAGCCATGCAGAGGACAACCCAGGAGGGAGGAATGATGATGCTGCTGCTGATGATGCGGCTGATGATGACGAGGAGGATGAGGAGGAGGACGACGGGGAGGAGGAGGAGGAGAACGAGGGGGGGGGCATGGGGGAGGAGAAGAAAGGTGGTGGCGACGACAAGAGGGTGAGGCAGGAGAATCAGACGGAGGGAGGAAGGTGTGAGCTGGGAGGAGCAGGGGAGGGCGGGGGAATGGAGCAGGAGGGGGACCCCTCCAGAGCCCCTCCTGGGCTCGGGCCACACCCTCCGACTGTCCTCCCCCCCTGGCGTTCTCGGTCCAGGCAGCTCCTTGAACGGCCTCCGCACCGAGTACCCCGCGCGGCGGATCCGTATGGACTCCAGCATGCCCGCGCAGCGCAGCTGGCGCTGGATCTCCAGCGAGTCGAAGTCGTGGGGCGCCTTGTTGCCATTGGGCTTGATGCACCTCACGTACCTCGGGTTCGTCTGGTTCAGGTCCTGGGGCAAGCAGGGAACGCGGCTAAAACACGCAAACTCACGACGAATGTCCGCGCGCACTTCTCGGATCGGCGCTGGGCCGCCCTCGCTGGCGCTGGCGCTCAGAGCGCGCCAGCGGCCAGAGGGGGCGCACCCAGGACAAAATTACCCTGTGACGTACCCAACCCATTTGTATCATGGGAAACGAGGGGTTGGCCGAAACTTGCATGGACAATCAAATTGCAGGATCCGTTGTTTGATATGTAAGCTACTAGGGACACGACCCTATGGCATGATGCGCAGGAGAACCATACAAGAACGAGGGGCGACAACTACAGGCTCGAAGAGGACATGGGGAGTCGGGAACGAAGAGCAAGAGAAAGACGTGCGGGAAGCCCACTGTGCTGTGCCCCTCAGCAGCCTTCGAAAGTGGCGACAGTTTCACAGATCGCAGCCCCCCAAGGATGGCGAGGTCTAATCTGAGTCTGCGGTGGGTACCCACTGTGCTGTGCCCCTCAGCAGCCTTCGAAAGTGGCGACAGTTTCACAGATCGCAGCCCCCAAAGGATGGCGAGGTCTAATCTGAGTCTGCGGTGAGTGCCCATTGTGCTGTGCCCCTCATCAGCTTTCGAAACTGGCGACAGTTTCGCAGATCGCAGCCCCCAAGGGATGGCGAGGTCTAATCTGAGTCTGCGGTGAGTACCCACTGTGCTGTGCCCCTCAGCAGCCCTCGAAAGTGGCGACAGTTTCACAGATCGCAGCCCCCCAGGGACGGCGAGGTCCCGTTTGGGTCCGCGGTGAGTGCCCTCTCTGCTGGCCTCCCCAGCAGCCCTCTAAAGCGGCGACAGTTTCACAGATCGCAGCCCCCCAGGGATGGCGAGGTCTAGTCTGAGTCTGCGGTGAGTACCCACTGTGCTGTGCCCCTCAGCAGCCCTCGAAAGTGGCGACAGTTTCGCAGATCGCAGCCCCCAAAGGATGGCGAGGTCCCGCTCATGTCCGCGCGGTGCCTCACTCTGCAGGATCCACCAGCAGCCCTCTAAAGCGGCGACAGTTTCACAGATCGCAGCCCCCCAGGGACGGCGAGGTCCTGCTCATGTCCGCGCGGTGCTTCACTCTGCAGGACCCACTAGCAGCCCTCGAAAGTGGCGACAGTTTTGCAGATCGCAGCCCCCCAGGGGCGGCGAGGTCCCGCTCAGGTCCGCGCGGTGCCTCACCCCGCAGGACCCACCAGCAGCCCTCGAAAGTGGCGACAGTTTCGCAAATCGCACCCCCCCACGGACGGCGAGGTCCCGCTCAGGTCCGCGCGGCGCCTCGCTCCGCAGGACCCACCAGCAGCTCCCGAAAGTGGCGACAGTTTCGCATATCGCAGCCCCCCAGGGACGGCGAGGTCTCGTTTGGGTCCGCGGTGGGTGCCCTCTCTGCTGGCCTCCCCAGCAGCCCTCGAAAGTGGCGACAGTTTCGCAGATCGCAGCCCCCCAGGGACGGCGAGGTCTCGTTTGGTCTCCGCTGGCCTCCCCAGCAGCCTTCGAACGTGGCGACAATTTCGCAGATCGCAGCTTCCCAGGGACGGCGAGGTCCCGTTTGGGTCCGCGGTGGATACCCTCTCCGCTGGCCTCCCTAGCAGCCCTCGAAAGTGGCGACAGTTTCGCAGATCGCAGCCCCCCAGGGACGGCGAGGTCCCGTTTGGGTCCGCGGTGAGTGCCCTCTCCGCTGGCCTCCCCAGCAACCCTCGAAAGTGGCGACAATTTCGCAGATCGCAGTCCCCCAGGGACGCGAGGTTCCGTTTGGGTCCGCGGTGGATGCCCTCTGTGCTGGCCTCCCCAGCAGCCCTCGAAGAGTGGCGACAGTTTCGCAATCGCAACCCCCCAGGACGGCGAGGTCCCGTTTGGGTCCGCGGTGGGTACCCTCTCCGCTGGCCTCCCTAGCAGCGCTCGAAAGTGGCGACAGTTTCGCAGATCGCAACCCTCCGGGGACGGCGAGGTCCCGTTTGGGTCCGCGGTGGGTACCCTCTCTGCTGGCCTCCCCAGCAGCCCTCGAAAGTGGCGACAGTTTCGCAGATCGCAGCCCCCAGGGACGGCGAGGTCCCGTTTGGGTCCGCGGTGAGTGCCCTCTCCGCTGGCCTCCCAGCAGCCCTCGAAAGTGGCGACAGTTTCGCAGATCGCAGCCCCCCACGGACGGCGAGGCGAGGTCCCGTTTGGGTCCGCGGTGGGTACCCTCTCTGCTGGCCTCCCCAGCAGCCCTCGAAAATGGCGACAGTTTCGCAGATCGCAGCCTCCCAGGGACGGCGAGGTCCCGTTTGGGTCCGCGGTGAGTGCCCTCTCTGCTGGCCTCCCCAGCAGCCCTCGAAAGTGGCGACAGTTTCGCAGATCGCAGCACTCCAGGGACGGCGAGGTCCCGTTTGGGTCCGCGGTGGGTGCCCTCTCTGCTGGCCTCCCCAGCAGCCCTCTAAAGCGGCGACAGTTTCACAGATCGCAGTCCCCCAGGGACGGCGAGGTCAAAGGCAGGGGGGAAGAGAGGGAGGGGAAGGAAGGAAGAAGGTTCGCGCGAGCAGTGCTCTATTCAAAACGAGAACCCAACACAGGAGGGTTGGGAATTACAGCTACGGCAGGGCTGAACCTAAACGGTGTTTTTCGTTTTCGCTTTGTTTTCGTTCTCCCTCGCTTTGGTCTTCGACTCGTCTCTACTGCAAAACGGAGCGGCCCGCACACGTGGGGCCCTGCTGAGCCCAAAGTGGTCGTCGTTCCGGCGTCTCGACTGCTCGTCGCTGTGCTTTCTCTCTCCTTCGAGCCTCGACCAGCTGGTCCAGCTGGGAGCGGAACATCATGCTCACGGTCACGTGCTGCTTCGCGCGCTCGCTGCCCGCGGCCGCCTTCGGCGCCGCGCGGGACTTCGCGCCCGCCGCGGAGCCGCCGGCGCTCCGGAGCTCGGGGGCGAACTTGGCGTCCGAGAAGAGGGCCTTCAGCATCGGCATCTTGGACCCTTTGCCGAGGTTGATGATGTCGGCGTGGAGCTTGTCCGTGTTCTTCTCCAAGAAGGACACGATGTCGTAGATCACCGGCCCCGCGTAGTGCGCCACCGCGAAGTTCGTGTCCGCGAAGCGGGACGGCTTGTACACGATCTTCGAGGTCTTGAAGGACGTATAGACCTTGTTCAAACAGGTGGCGTCCTTGCCGTTCGGCATAAGGCACTCTGAATCGATTATGCAGAACAGGCCCAGCGGCTTCTTTTCCAGGCTGTCTATGATCTCGCGATTGTCCTGGAACACGATGTGCGACCAGCTGATGCCTTCTTCATTGTATAACTGCTGCTCCAACGTGAACATGTGTGAGTTGAAATGCTGCTGCAACTTCTCGTTGGCGAAATTGATACACAACTGCTCGAACGAATTCCACTCGAACACCTCGAAACCATAAATGTCAAGGATCCCGATCTTCCGGGATTGGCCACCGCCCTGTTTGGCTTTGGTGCTCTCGTTGATACGCCACACAAGCCAATCGAAGAGCCGGGAGTAGAGACACTTGGCCATGGAATGGCGGGTGTCCGAAGCTCCCCCCGGGTTTTGCGGCATATCGATTATCTTCTTTGTGAACGGATCCTCCAAAGTCTTGTACTGGTATATCTTCGTGAAATCTGCCGCCTCCACCTGCATCAACTTGCATATAATCTCGGTTTTCTGCTGGTCGGTGATCCGGGTGCCATGGTCGCTGTTTTCCATCTCCTCGAACTCCAGATCACCTAGATGCAGCACAGCGGCTGTGATCTTGAGGATGGAATCCCTTTCATCCCCACTGAAGCCGAGGCTATTCATGCAGTCCATCATCTCTTGAAACTCGCTGCTGTCGTTCACACCTTCAACCTGCGTCGTCGTGCAGACGTAGTTATGGTCCATCGCGTCGTGCAGGCAGAGAAGCGAGTTGAGCTCCATACTTGCTGCTCCAGCGCACATCATGTAGAAAGCGTGGTAGTTGCGTTCGTTGGGCTGCTGCGTGACTATGCGGCTCTTTTCCAACAGATAGTTCGAGATCTTCGCGCTCCTTAACTTACCGCTCGTGTCAAATTCGATGTCAATGAACTTGCCGAAGCGGGACGAGTTATCGTTACGAACAGTCTTCGCGTTTCCAAAGCCCTCGAGGATAGGGTTGGCACGCAAGATCTGGTCCTCTATTCCCATGCTTCCCAGCGAAGCGGTGCGCCCCATCAAATCGTCGGCTTTCTTCCCTTGCAACCCGGCGAAATACGTGAGGATTCGCTTCGTCGCCTCGGTCTTCCCAGCACCGCTTTCCCCGGAAATGATGATGGACTGATTCTTCGAGTCGCCAAGCATGGCAGTGTACGAAGCCGCCCCGACGGAGAACAAGTGCGGTGGCAAATCCATGTCCCCTTTACCAGCAGCTGCGGAGCGGTCGCGGTAGAATTTCTGCTTGGCCTGGAGAGGAGCAAGAGCGGGAGGAGGAGGAGGAGGAGGAGGAGGAGAGGTGAAAAGAGGAAGAAGACGTCCCACTGGCCTTCTTGGCGTAGGCGGTCTGGCGCCCAACCCTTCCAATCTGAGCCCTCCTGCCGCTCTGGGGAAAACTTCATACCGCAAGCTGCCCCCTCCCCTGGGGCCCTGGGGGGTCTGGAGATGGTGATGGCGAACACGTAAACCGTCCAAGAGGGGCCCCAGATGGCTCCTGGATGGCGCAGGTAGCACGACGTCGCTCAAGGTGGCCTCCAGCACGCCTCAAAGATGATTCAAGAGGGTTCTGAGGTCATCCCCGAGCTTCCCAATGATGTCCCAAAGAGGCCAATCGTCTCCATCGTTTTCGCCTTCTCGCCTTTCTCGGTTGCCGACAGGCGCCCGAGGCCTCAAGACGGCCCAGCGATTATCACAGATGGCACTCGGGGCCTGGAAGAGTCCCAAGAGGTCTCATCAGGTGGCCCCCCGACAAATGAATCCCAACGGGGCCGCAATAGGTGCTCGTGAAATGGGCATCAATAGGCCCCTCACTTTTTCCGTCGCTGCTCTCCAGGATGGATCCACAACCTTCAGAGAGGGCCTCGAGAGAGCCCCGACGTCTCTCAGGAGGGCTTCAAGAGAGCCCTGAAATGGCTCCAGGAGGCCTCCAAGACGCTCCCGAGGAGTGCCCCCGCGCTGTTGCACTAATGTTCCTTCGCTTCCCTTGTCACGGCTAGGTATGATTTTGGAGATGTACTTTTCAAACCACCTTTTCTGGATGGACTGGTGCGGACACGCGAGGCGCAACGCTTACTGTTGGCCCGGCCTCGCTGTACAGATCGGGGAGCTTGCAGAACGGATTTACCGAGATCAAGATCGGCCCGCCGATGCCAGTGTAGATCTCGTCTCGGAAGTAGCGCACGCGCACGTTGTGCAGCAGGGCGCCCTCGTTGAAGTCGCCCAGCGACAGCAGGTCGTCGACGCCCTTGAGGCAAGCAGCGTCTACTGGCCGCTTCTTATCTGCTGCGACCTGGAATTGCTGACCCTGCTCGTCGACCACGCAGACCGAACCGTCGGCGTTCACTGAGTCGACACGGCCAGGTACCCAGCCATCAGTGGGGTGGTTCTCGATCCAGATCTGAGCAGCACCTTCCCCGATGTCCATGTCGCTAGGCTATGTCACGGACTGGCGCAACTAATTAGCCACAACTGCTCGAACAGATGGGTACAGTGGGCCAGCGATCGCTGCTAAGCGTCCCTCGCGACCCGTGCCAGTGCTCGTTCCGCGGCGCAAGCAACTCAACCCTGCGCGAACCGGCACAGCTGCGGATACAGACAACGGACGAGGAGCACGGGGAAGGCAAAACTGGCTGGGAGGAGGAGCCGCGGCAGGAGAGGCAAGAGCCGGAAGAAGAGATCGACAGGGGTGACGAGCAGTGCCAGCACGACGTGGAGGGATCTGGAGGCTCCGCTCGGGTCGCCGAGGGACAGGGAAGCAGTTCGTGACGTGCTGCTGCGAATGTGAGCCGCGGCGGGGAGATGCGCGCTCTGCCCAGCACAGGAGGATAAGTCCACCTGGAAGAACAAATAACGGTAGCGTCAAGTCGGGCCTGGGGGGATTTTCGACGAAAAATAAAAAATACCTCCAAAATGCCCCCAGAAGGTCAAACAATACTCAACAAATAGTCCCCAGACTATTTTTGGACTATTTTTGGCTATTTTTGGGGTATTTTTTATTTTTCGCCGAAAATCCCCCTGTAGGGGGACAGGCCCGACTTAACGATAGCGATGCCGCTACTCCCCGGACCTCTCCCGGGGTGCTCTCCGACCAAGACTCCGAGCCGAGCCCAGCCGTGGCGACGAGGGCACCCCCCTCTGGGAGGCGCAGGGGGGCGAAGGCGAGGGAAAGGGAAGGGCAGATCGGAATCGGCACTTTTGTTGTTGTTGTTGTTGTTGTTGTTGTTGTTGTTGTTGTTGTTGTTGTTGTTCTTGTTCTTGTTCTTGTTCTTGTTGTTGTTGTTGTTGTTGTTGTTGTTGTTGTTGTTGTTGTTGTTGTTGTTGTTCTCTGTTAGTTTGTTTCTTATTGCTTTTTTTGTTTGTTGTTTTTTTGCTTGTTTGCTTTCCCTCCCCATGAGCACGCCACGAGAACTCATGCCCTCAACGAGTTCGGGGTGGTCCCCACGCGGGCCGCGCAGGCCCTCGCCAACACCGACGCTCGGCATGCGAGCCGGCGCCCCCCCAGCAGCGCGGTACGGGCGGGTGACCCCGAAGCCCGCGGAGACCTCACCGCGCACGGTCCGTGACAGCACGGCTGTCTTGGACCCTTCGGGTTGGGCATAAGGGGGGGATCGCAGAGGGGGGGGTGAGAATTTAGGACGCCCGAAATGGGTATGGAAACAATGGGTACAATGCCCAGCAACAAATGTTGTCCCAAACCAACAGCGGCCGCTGTTGGGCAGGCGGCCTCCTGTCTCGAATGGACACAGGCCGCGGCGGCGTGGACAGCGAATCCTGTTCAAAATGAACAGGAACCGCTGTTGGGCATTGTACCCATTCTTTCCGTACCCATCTCGGGCGTCTAGAAGAATCAGCTGACGTAGCTGATTTTCCCGGCGCCTCCCGGCGCCCATGTATCGAGGAAGGGGCCCGGCGGCGGGGCCGAGTCCAGCTGCATGCAGCAGATTTCGTACCCCCCCCTTGCCCTGTCACCCCCTTTCGTTCGGCCCGAACCTTGGGAGGCCCTGGCCGCCCGGAACGTGCTCGGCGGCGAACCACCCAAGTCCCAAAGCCGTGCCCGAAAGAACGGGCGAGCGAGGAGCACCGGGATGTTTTTTGTTCTGCCTCAGAATTACCAGCCTCGAACGTATCCCTCTCCCTAAGATTGACACGCCAAAAGGCGATGACAATCTTAGGGATTCGCCCTCAAAAAATCAGGGAATCTCTAAGATTGGCATCGTGATGAGGAGGTGCCCAGCATAGGGATAGGGATATGTTCCAGGCTTGTAATCAGAAGCCTACCCATCGGTCGGAAGAAGTGGGCAGAAGCATGAGGTAAGAAGGCGCTGGAAGGAAAATTGGGTCCCCGCCGGCCCCTTACGGATGAATGAAAAAGGGAAAAGCGCTCGTCAATTGAAGTAGGCAGGCGCCTATAGAGCAGATTGGGGCCTGGGAGTCCAGAAATATCCACTTTCAACGACCGATGGGTAGCGGCTGCGTGCCAGGCGCCAGCCTCAGGGCCTGCTCAGCTTCTTCTGAGCCACAAGAGTGCCTCTAACCCGTGCGGTCACCCCCGACCAGGGCCACGCTAACGGCGACGCTGGTTACCGGCGATGCTGGGAATCTGGATTTTGCGACGCCGAGCTCGCGCGGAGCAAACTGCAGGCTGCGATTGGGTTGGCCACGAACCGTCCCCGCCTACAGTACCGAAGCCTGCGCCGCCGTGGACGTGACGTCGGCCCGACTCCCCAACGCCTCACCCACACCGTGTGGTCACGGCACTGCCCGAGGCCCCCCGAATGGAGCAAGCGGGCTCCGAAGGAAACGGGCTCGAGCCTGGGGCCCTCCCCCCAAGACCAGCCCTTCACCCCGCGTCGTCCCCTCTGACGCTTCTGGGGCCTGGGGGCGGGCCCCCTCGGAGCCCGAGGACGGCGAAGAGCGTCAGACCGTCGGCACCTCGGAACCGAACCGGATCGGGCTGGCCGCCAGCAGTCGACGTCGAGTCGGGCCGATCGGCTCGAGAATGGATCCTGCGCGGTCCTCCCGCAGCACCATCGGCAATGCATCTGCCACGCTGGGTTGGCCAAACTTGGGCTCCCGGTCGCGACGGGTCGCCGATGCACTGGCGATGCGGCGCGATCCTTCGACCCATCTGCGGCTGAGCTGCCCCGCTACGCAACGCGCAGCCCGGAGCTCCATTCGTGGAGTGAAAACGCACGTTTGGCGCGAGCCGCTCGCCGAGAATCGTGGGGCAACACGTGGATCCAACACGCAGCGTACTAACACCGAACTTTGAACACGGTGCATTTCAAAACGGGCAGGATGAGGAGGAGGAGGAGGAGGAGGAGGAGGAGGGGGAGGAGGAGAAGGGCGAGGAGGAGGAGGCGGAGGAGGAGGAGGAGAAGCAGGGGGAAGGGGAGGGGGGGGAGCAATGCTCTATTCCCCGGTTCGATGTTTTAAACACCGGTT